ACGTAATGCTTCCGCAACTCATTACAGAGGTCCTCATAAAGTTTTTCTAGAAATCTTTTTTTAGGTGCTTCAGGACATTTGATTGATGGGTTGATATGCACGAAAAACAAGGACAATTATGTAATTCCTAAAAGTTAGCTGATAAATGCAAAAAAAATGCCCTAAAAATGGTGGAACTATACGTAATACTTCACCAACTTATTATCGAGGTCCTCATTAAGTTTTTTTCAGAAAAAAAAATCGGATGCTTTAAGGCACCAGATCTATGGGCTAATACACATGAAAAATCAGAAAAAATCGTATAATTCCGAAAAATTGACTGGTAAATGCGAAAATAGGCATTAAAAGAATGTTGAGACTATATGTAATGCTTCCCCTTTATTGATGTCCGTATAAGAATTTTTTAGGGAAAAAAATTGGGTGCTCAAAGGCGCCAGTTCCATAGGCTAATTTATACCCAGGAAAAACTAGAAAAATCACATAATTCCTAAAAGTTGGCTAGTAAATTGGAAAATAAGTCATAAAAATGGTGGGACTATACGTAAAAATTTTCAAACTCACTACGAAAGTTTTCATAAATTTTTTTTTTAAGTGCTCCAAGGCTCCAGAATCATGGGCTAATACACACGAAAAAAATAAAAAAATTGCATAATTCCTAAAGGTTGGCTAGTAAATGTGTAAATATGTCTTAAAATGGTTAGACTATATGTAACGCTTCCCCAACTCATTACAGAGGTTCTCATAAAGTTTTTCAGAGAAAAAATTTGGGCGTTTCAAGGCGTCAGATCCGTACACACAAAAAATCAGAAAAGACACGTATTTCTTAAAAGTTGGCTAGTAATGCAAAAATAGATCTCAAAAATATGATAGAACTATGCATAATGTTCTCTAACTCATTACAGAGATTCCCATAAAATTTTCTTATAAAATTTTTTAGGTGCTCCAAGACGCTAGATCAAGGACTAATGCACACGAAAATCGTTAAAAAAAGAATCAAGAATGTATGGTCAAATCACAAAAAAAAGAACTAGAGGCCAAATATTGTAGAGAAATATATATATATATATATATAAAGGACTTTTTTGAATTTTAATTTACCTTTAACATAAGGGATCATTTGTTATTTTCTCTCAAGTTAAACCATCATTATCAAACTTGTTAGGCTTAATTTTTTCCAATATTTCATACAACTAAGCAACTTGTAATTTTTGTAAAAAGGTTCAACTTAATTTTGCTACAATATTTTTCAAATAATTAAACTTTTTCCAATTTTTAAAGAAAATTTGGATTTTCCCATATATAATTCTTTGTTATTCATGTTTTTCATTTTATATTTATCCCCATAAATAGGAGAGACTACAAGTAGCAAAGTCCTTTGCACTAAAAAAAATTTAATATGAAATAAAAACAAGACATATTTAATTTGAATATCATATATTAAGTCAAAAAATATATTAGTTGTTGATAGCTTATCAATATTATACTCCATAAAAGAGAAACAAAAATACTATAAAAATTACATTTTTAATATTATTATTAAATAAAGAAAATATACCATCTCTAATTTATAAGAAAAAGATTTCGAAGACGTAAGGATAGTAGAATTAATGCAACAAGTGACCTGCATGTCAATGCCTTTCAGTCGAGCTCGTTTAATTGAGTTTATATAGTACGTTTTACGTGATTTATAAATTATTGCACAGTAAATTTATCTAATATGCATACGAAGAATAAAAACTCTGAATTTTCTTTATATTTTAAAAAAAAATGGACATTTGTGATGACAGCTCATAATTAATTCTAAAATTAGATAGCTGTTAATCTAAATCGTCCCATTTTCATAATTTGTCTTTTGGAACCACCAAAGGATGTATATGGTTGTGACCAATGAAATTTTGTTAAATTTGTAATTAATTTTTTTTTGGGTTTGTGTGAAAAAAAAAATAAAGATAATAATATTTTTGATTCCTATGTTAATTAAACAAATTGTGATTTCGATTTTGTGATATATATATAATTTTTGATCTTTTTAACTAATAAAAATGTGAGATTTTGATCTTTTTACGTAGGAAATATATCATGTTGTTTTTATAAAGCATTTTACTCTCAAATATGCGTTAACAATGTAAGCTTAGCTTAACATAAAACCTGCATAATTAAATAATAAAATGGTTAATACTTGTGAAATCATTGTGAGTATATATTCACGATTATAAAAGAAATTTGAATTTAATAATTAAAAGTTAAATATAAGTAAGAAGATATCACGAGGATATATATTTTTATCAAATAGTCAATATTGAGATATTAATTGATTTTATTTTAAAAAATTGATTAAGCAAATTAAAAAACAATTGAGGCTTGTTACTCTCTAATATACGTTAATTATGAAATTTTTTGAATATATATTCATTAGAATAAAAAAATCAAAATTGAACATTTCAATTATGTAAAAGTTAAATGTACGTAATCAGATTTCACAAAATTCAAATTAATCAGATAGTTCATATCGAGATATTGATTGGTTTATCAAAAAAAAATTATTAATTATGCAAAACAACGATTGCAGAAAGGTTTATCAGATTTAATTTTTTTAATTAGTCAACACTAAGCCATTAATTGACTAATAATCCATGTTACTCGTGTTGTCGATAAAGTAATATTAATAGTTAAATTAAAGAGTTTTTGTTAGTTATATTTAAATATTAAAAATTATTTATATGACAAGTTGTTTATAAGATAATTACAAATACTCCCTCCGTTCAGAAATGTTTGTAATGATGCGCTTATCGAAAGAAAATTTGACTAAGGTAAATTATATCACATTAATTCGATATTTTAAAAAAAAAAATTAGATATTCTAAAACTATATGAAAAGTACAATAAAATACAAAATTTTCATATTAATATGATGAAAAAATGCATCTCAAAATATTAGTAAAAGTTTTTATAATTTGACTCTAAAAATAAACCACGTCAAACAATATCAAATGGAAGGAGTACATTTTAAATATTTAAGTTACATTAATCGACGATGTAAAAATATTTATTTAATTAATCATTTATAAACTAATAATTAGATGCAAACTTTCATAACAAACGTTGACTGATAACGTGATAAAATTAGTACTCTAATATATATATATATATATATATATATATATATATATATATATT